GAAGGCGGGAGCTTTACGGGCCCACGAGGGCTCGGCCAGGCCTGGTGTGCTCCTACTATTGCGTCCGGACGGCTACCGTCGCAAACGGTGGAGGTGGGGCGCTCCCGCGTGCCGACGGTGCTGATGCCCTAGTCCCGGCTCTGATTCTCCGTCATGCTGTCCTCACTTCGCGGTGCCGTGGTGAGACGGGGTGGGGGCCTCATGACCGCGTTGGCGCAAAGTGGTGGTTGGTTTGGTGGCAGGCTCCGGGGCGCCCGAGGTGCGGGTTGGGATTGGGGGAAACCCCTGTCGGCATGGCCAACACCGCCGCGGTGGCGCCTGTGGGTGCCACCTGACCTTCCGGGAGGGCATCGGGGCTACCCTTCCTCTCGCCTCGTCGTGTACGAGGGAAACCCTTGGCAGCAGCGTCGTCATCGTCGCGATCCTTCTTGGAGGTGTTGGTAGGTGCCGGCGCTTCGGAGTCATGAAGTCTAGTGGAAGATCCTGGTGGGCGTTGCGATCGTAAGGCTTTTTCGTTTTTGTTGATCCGTCGTTGTCGGCATTAGTTTCTTTTGCTTTTCTCTGTCGTTTTTTTTGGGTGTGACTGTGCTGCTTCTGCCCAACACCTATCCATGTATGGTTCGGTTGGTTGCTTTGTATACAAAGCGGGGAAAACCCCTTTTTCGGCGAAAACGAAAGGCAAATGTTTGTATACGGCGAGCCGGCCGAAAACTGCGCCGGTCGCGCGTGCGCCGTGCGATCCTGTGCCATCCAGCGGCCCGCGTTGCGCTCAGGTAAGTTGACTAGTCACCTGGGCCCGCCACGATCCCTTCCCCTTCTATTTTACTTTTTTCTCTCGCGATGGCACTGTCATCTCTTTCCTTTGGTTTTCTTTCTTCCTCTCGTTCCTTCTTCTCTCTCTCCTATGGGGCATGGCGAGGCGCACCACCGCTGCCACACTTCTATCTCCATTGGCACGGGAGGTCATGTCACTGCAAATTTGAGCGCTCACCGCTCCTGCGAGAGTAGGCGGGCGCTGTTTGTGGGGGCAGGTAAGCGAGCTACAACCAGCGGCCAAAAGAGCTGCGACCGGCGTCCATTTTTTGCTGGAACCAGCTTGTGGTGGATCTGGGACCTCGGGAAGACTAAGCTGTAACCACCGCTGCCCCGAGCTACATCCGTTGCCGTAAAAAGCTACATGCAGTAGACAAAAAGCTTCAACTGAACATTGGCAAACTGGAAAAATTGGAACTGTTGAAAGAAAAGCTTCAACGGCATATTGAAAAAGCTTCAACCAGAGATTCAAGAAATCTTCGGCCACCATTGCACAATTGGGGGAAATGTTTCGCAACGAGCATCCTTTTTAATCGGTTAGTTCCTCGGCCGGCCTACTGATCCTTTTTAATCGGTTCTTCGACTTTTTTTCCTAGCATCATTCATGTCCGGTTTAACACTTTCTAGATGGGCCTCGTGGTCTTGTGAGCGACTCAAATTGGGCCCATCGAAGCTCACAGACCAGTGTTCTCTGCCCTCTCTCTTTTCTCATGGCGCCCGCCGCCGGCGAAAACCCACCACTGGCGGCGGCGGAGAGTAGTGACACCGGTGAGTGCCGGTGGATAGCGGCCCTCTCCGAGCGCGAGCTCGTCCGTGACGCCCCCTCCCTCCTCTTATCTCTTAGTTTCTTCCTCCTGTTGCTTTCACCTTCCTTATGATCAGTTCGATGGTGCTGGCGGTGCAGGATTTTCTCCTCAGCTTGAAGATGCTGGTCGTGAAGCGGGCGGAGACCGCCGGCCGCCCCCACCTCGCCGACGGGTTAGATCTGCGCATGCTGGGGGCTCTCGGTACTGCTTGAACTACTTCTGTATTGCTTCATCCATGTCTCTCGCTACTATGAAATCCTTGTAACATCAGTAATAGAATAGAATCTGATCCCCAGGATAACAAACTAAATGGAAATGCCTAATTAGTTTGCTGGCGACGGTGAATCGGACACTATCTACTGGGTCCAATGCAAGGTACTCTGTTGTTGATACTCTGAATTTGGGCAGTGGAAGTGACGGCTTTGGATCAAATTTATGGATTCATAGCATAGAACATTTTTTTCTGCATTAGAGTTGCGGCCTCACAGAAACCAAATTCTGTTACTTATTTAGTCTTCAGGCAAGTTTGTGGATTCATAGCAAGGATGCAAAAATATGATGTTTCTGAATACTGCCAGTTTGGTCCATATCTTCAATAACATGTATGGCCCAATCTCTTTGCTGAATTGCATGCTCATGCTTGTGCTTTCCAGGTGATGTTTTGCTGGAAAGTTTCAAAGGACGCCTAAAAGAAAACTCAGTTCATCTGACCGTGGATGTTAACGTCAGTAGTTGGTGTCCGAGGTATTCACACAGCCCAGAAAACATTAGCCAAAGCCAAATAGAGTCAACAGAAAACAAAAAAGCAGATGCAAGTTGGTAAGTCTTTCTCCTTGTGTTGCTTAGGAGTAAAAAGTTTAGTATACATGTTTTATTTTCCCAAAGCATACATATATACTTGCACTGTGTCAGAAAAAAAGAACATACATACGATTAATATCATGTGTTGTTGAGCTGCTGCTGGCGAATAGTCCAGTGCCACTTACGGCCATCTTCACTCATGTTTCCAACAGCAGTATTTGACCTCACTGCAGACAAGGTGATACATGTAGTAGTGTGTACGCTGACCAGCATGCATTCACACCGATGCATCAAGGTTGGCCAGCCATATATATACCTACTACATATGCTTGCTGACCTAGGTCGAAGAAACCAAGAACTTCCGTGCACAAGTTTCTAGTTTCAGAAGGAAGACCATGCAAACGTATTCACCATGGCTGCCATTTGATTTGAATATGTCCTATGGCATCCTAAAGTTCCCAGGCTTCCTTTTATTTGCACCTGACAGGACCTAGTTATGCTTTTTCATTAAGAACGGAAAAAACAATGTACCGTGGCAGATAGACTTTTCAACCGACTACATTCTACCAGTTCATCCAAAAGATTTAAACTCATGGAGAAGGATGAACCATATATTTCAAAATCCCCTCTCACTCATTAGCTTGGTATTGAATTCAATTCCTCTTGCTCTGGTACCATATTGAGCTGAATATTTGATGCACCTAACCAGTTAACACGAAAGCTTATATTCTGACAAAGAAGGGTGATTACAAAGAAGGATGGGCAGTATATTTCAATAAGATTGTGAAGAGAACAAAAGAAAACTCTTATGGACAGAATCTCCACTCGTAACTGTGTAGGCATAGAGGCAAACTTCCCCTAGTCTTCAACAGGAGGCTAATGCCATCGCTCACTAATCCAACTATGACTCTAGTATTGCCTTTTTTCCCTTTAAAATGTTTCTATCGTATTATTTTCAAATATGCCAAAGCACATAGACAACCATGTAATCAAGACAACACCTCCCATAATTCCATTGTGTAGTGCTTGTGATGACGAAGAAGCAAGAATGACCTAGACTAAGTCTCTCCAGTAGTGATACCAACTATGAGACGAGTTGAATGTATACCTCTTATCTCCATCTAACGTGTACTCCCTCCGTTCCTAAATATAAGTCTTTTTAGAGAATGCAATAAGGGGCTACATACGGAGCGAAATGAGTGAATCTACACTCTAAAATATGTCTATATACATCTGTATGTAATTTGTATTGAAATCTCTAAGATGACTTATATTTAGAAACAGACGGAGTAATATCTAACAACTTTGCTTTCAGTGGTCTTCTTGCTAAATCAAGAGCTTCCTATATCTTCCTTGCCCGGATCTAACCAAAAGATCATGCACCCGATCACAACAATGAAGTTACCTCCTCCCAGTAGTGAAAACTGAAAACTCTCTTGATTCCAAATTTGCTTCAATGGTGCTTCTATCACCATCGCCTGGCCATAGCACCGATGCTGAACAGGGAGGTAGAGACGCCACACCTTGATGATCCTCCCAGCCATCCTTCTCAAAATGCATAAATAGGAAAACTTAGGCTTGCATGCTCATTTAAATCCTACATGATTTTGGTTTGTTCGATTGCGTCACAGAAAAACAAATGGTTCTTTTCAAGAAGTTTGAGTGGATGAAAAAATAATTGAAACTTAGTGCAGAGAAATGTATAGGAAAATCCACATATATATGGTATTATGGTTCAATCCTCCAGATTAATCGTCCAACACTGAAGAAATTCCTGAATTTTCAAGACTGCTAAATTATCCTACAGATTGATCAGCCCATTTTGGAGGAACTCATAAATATTTGAGGCCGCTAAAATTTCAGATCTGACCAGGCCGGGCAGGGTTAATCTGTTTAATTTATGTTAGCATGTAGGACCTATAATTCTATACACATCGATATCACGCGGTACGGCGACAGGTCTGGTTAGCAATCTCATACCTTGAAATTGATATCACGCGGCTATATCTAATTGCCTGCTTTGTCTAATTACCCTTTGCGTGTGTGATCTCTGACAGGAACGGGACGAAGGATTTTCTATTTCTACGGGGACTGGTGGCTCCGGCCGGCGTGCAGCGAGCGCTGGGTGCCAGTGGGGAATCGTGAGCTGCAACGGTAATAAATTTGTTTTTGCTCATCGATAGGGACGGAGCTAGTGTCACTGCAAGCACTCCAGCTACTACTCCAGTCCAGTCCAGTGTTCAAAGCTAGTGGTGAGAAAGCTGCAATCGACCATAGTTTAAGCAACTACATGTGATGTAAAGCTGCCTGAGGGATGATAACCAAGGTTTTAACTAAGCGAGGGAGCACGTGGTAGGTGAGAATGAGATCGATGTCGACCCTGTTACTCTAGCTAACTTGGAGCTGGCTAGCTGGCGTCCTCATAAGATTGGTCCATGGGTGCTGCCTGTTGTGCTGTGAGCTAGCTAGTCACACAGATAGGATAGCCGGAGATCAGATCAGTAGCGCTCATGTCATGGTTTCAGTAATGGCACTAGTAGTAGTACTCTGGTGTTGGCTGCCGGAGCAGCAGCGAGTCCCATGATCGGGATGCCCAGCTGCGTGACGACGTGCGGCCGCGTGGAGGTGCCGTACCCGTTCGGCATTGGCCCGGACTCCAGCTGCTACCTGAATCAGCCGGGGTTCAACCTCACCTGCGACCACAGCAACAACCCCCCACGGCTCCTCCTCCTCCCCGGCGAAGATCAGCGTCTCCAGGTCAAGTACATCGACGACGTAGTGTCCATTGTGGAGGTGGTCCGCAAAGTCGACATAAGCACTAGCGGGTCCGACGACATAAGCCTGAGAGGACCTTTCAGGCTCGCCGGGGCCAACGAGCTCGTCCTCATCGGCTGCAACGTGTGGTCGACCCTGCTGCGGAGGAGCACGAAGAAGGGCAATGCCACTGCCATCGTTAGCATCTGCTTCTCCTTCTGCAGCGCCATCACCAAAGGCCCCCGGTTCAGCCAGGGACGCTACAGTCCGGGCGGCCACTGCATTGATCCCATCATCGTTGACGAACACGACGAAGCAGCTGCCACAGTGCACTACGGCGTGGAGCTCAGCTGGATTGGTGGGAACAAGAGCGCGGATCGGGCGCAAGTCCCCGCTCGGACGTTCGTAGCCAAGTACAGCAGGTTCGACTATTGGCTCTACAACTACTCCATATCCCCTGTTGCTACTACAACATTGGATCCTCCCGTTTATCTGCACAATGAGATCAGCGGCAGCTGCTCCAACAACATATGCAAGAGCGACCACAGCGTCTGCAACAATATCAGCGCAGATTCATGTGCATGCTCCTGCGATTCAAATTACACAGGCAACCCCTACCTCCCCGGCGGTTGCCAAGGTTAGTTTGTTAAATTTATGTTTCCTTCATTCATTATTCCCTTCATTTTTGCAGTGATACCTATCTCGATTGATTGATAACATGATTCACTAATATCGCAAGACTGCTAAATATTCCATCC